GGAAACTGGAAAGCTTATGGCTACTGCTATGCCTTCAGAAACAGACCAAGCTATTAAGCAATTAACTGACCAAATTGTTCAACTTAGTATTAACTTAGCTTAGCAACAACAACCTGCTTTTACCACTTCTGTAAACTATGCTGAAGCTTCTACCCAAGCACCTTGACTTAAACAACCACCTACTTGTTTTTATTGTGAACACACTAGACATTTTATTTCTAATTGTATTACTAAAAAGAGAGACAGAGAATAAAGACAAGGCTTCTATAACCGAAGACCTACCAGAGACAATTGACATAATTATTCTTGATCCAGAAGTCGAGATCATCCTTAAAATAGAAGCCAATCCCATGAACGAAACTATTATTTATTAAATTATCAAAGAAATAGAAGCTCTGAATGCTCTAGATATCCTTCTAACCGATCTTTTTCTCCATACTATCATGATGTCCACTATCTTGATCAGAATCAGACACCTCCTTCTCCTTCTTCAATTAGTTCACAAAAATAGGAAACCTTATTAGCCAACCCTTCTATCTGCACTGCACTTTCTGCACATTTAAGTGAAGAAGCTAAGAATGCCAATATTATTACATCCTTTACCCATACTACACCTGTTAAATGCAATATCCAACTCAGAAACAGACCTTATCAAGCTATTATTAACAGTAGTGCTTCTGTAAGCATGATTGCTTACAAGGTAGTTAAAGCATTAGGATTAAAAATTGAACAAGCCTTCTCTAGTCTTATTATAGTAATTCTACTAGACCTTTAGAAGTTATTTGAGATTTACCTATTACTATAGACCAAATTACTATCTCTGTTACTGTCAAAGTAGTAGATGTTACTTCATATTCTATCCTTCTTAGCAATGACTGGTTCAAGAAAGTTGAAGCTAGTTACAACTGGAAAAATAGATACTATTTCTTTAAATAGAAAGGCAAAAAGCATGCCATTCCTACTACTTATGAGAATAATCAACCACTTCCAGTTCAACTTATTGTTACTAATTCTGATGAGCTTGAGCTTTATGAACAGGAATATCTTACACCTTTGGAAGCATATGCACTTGATG